CTACAGTATCTGAACCACATTTTCACCCTTTACGTGTTGCCAGTCAGTATCAGATTCTAACTCTTTAGCACTATATTCTTTGTTGGACTCATCATCGCTACTTGTTACACCACTAAATTCATCATCACCACTACCTGGTACATCAGAGTTAGAACCACCTTGCTGAGATTCTTCAGAAACTATTGTATCAGCATCTGAACATACAGAATCAGGACCCTCCATTTTGACATCAGTCACATCTGAGTTAGCTTTTGACAGCGGCTGTAGAATTGCAGAACTTTCATCTGACTCTCGGTTCTCTCGATGATACCTACTAATGTGTGAGTACAGACTATATTTATTGGCAAAAGACTTGTCACAGAATGAGCAGGTTACAGAATTCATAACTGCAGTACAAACGTTTTATAATGCTATGCAACAACCATTATATAGCAATAATCGCATAAAATCGCAAATAATCGCAAAATAATCGCATATAATCGCATATAATAGCATATAATAGCATATAATAGCATAAAATTGCAAATAATCGCATATAATTGCAAAATAATTGCATAAAATAGCATATAATAGCATATAATCGCATATAATCGCATATAATAGCATATAATAGCATATAATCACATCTAATCATATATAATCACGTATATTATCTCTTAAAATCACATTTTATTATTTATACTCGCAAATAATTGCATATAATTGCAAATAATCGCATATAGTAGCAGGGTGAATATGATCCAACTTATGCATTCAACCTATTAAAGATCTTTTCAAAGATTTATTTTCATGCTGATTGCCAAGCATCATCCTGGAGATGGAACTGTAACTCTTGAGTCTACCAAAGACTGCACCCAACATGTAGGAATACTTCCTAGTGGGGACATTAAAGGACCACACCAGACAGGACAAGGAGATCATGGTAAATTCTACGTCAACTAGTCAGACGGAGATCATCTTCGAGATCTATCACTTTCTGGATTATCATTCATAACCAGTAGTCAGCGCACCATTGATTTCTGCTTTCAAATGATAACTGCTAATACTCTTATCGATTTTATTGCACAGAAACCAGCATTTGACTGGGACCGGGGCTGGGATAGCTCAAAATTGCTAATCCCGGTACCGGGATTCCCGGTACCGGGAATCCCGGTCGATTACTGGTGCATGCAACTGACCTTGTTTGGGTATCAGGTGATTTTTCCTGCAATTTGGTAATTGTGAAACATCACCTTGGATTTCTGTTGTCACAAAACGTACCTTTTTAGACCTTTTCTCAAAGCATATAATAGCATATAATAGCATATAATAGCATATAATAGCATATAATAGCATATAATAGCATATAATGGCATATAATAGCATATAATAGCATATAATAGCATATAATAGCATATAATAGCATATAATAGCATATAATAGCATATAATAGCATATAATAGCATATAATTGCATATAATTGCATATAATTGCATGTAATAATAACATACAATCGCATTCGGTAGACTCAAGAATTACAGTTCAATCGCCAGCATATAATCGCATATAATAGCATATAATATCATATAATCGCATATAATAGCATTATATAATATCATGTAATCGCATATGATAGCTTATAATAGCATATAATAGCATATATAATCGCATTCGGTAGACTCAAGAGTTATAGTAACATCTCCAACATATATTCATATAATTGCATATAATAACATATAATATCTTATAATCGCATTTATATATTAAATGAATACCAATGGTTGTTACGTTTAAATAAATAAAATCAAATGTTTTAAAAGAGCGATCCATCTGGAGAAGTAGGCTAGGCGGGATTTGAACCCGCATTGTCCTGCATAGGAAAGTTGCCGTTAACTCACTAACCTGAGGCTCCAGCTGGACCGCTGTTAAAATGAAAATATGAACATGTTTAACAAGATCGTTACGAATATCACGTGACGGATGCTTTTATGACGTACTTGCTTCTTATTGGTCAATTAACTTGTCACGTAACCTTGACATTTCATTTACGAGCTTGTCAGTTTAAAATAATACATTATAGTTATAAATTGCTATGTGGCACAGTTCGTTAGTCTGCCTGCTTGTGAAATGCCTCGCATTCACAGGGTCCCGGGTTCGATTCCCGTCTGTGCCACTAGCTATGGGGAGAGCATCTGAATTTTCCGGGAATCTATTCATGTGGAGTGCGGCACACCACAACAAAGGTGCATTCTTCCTAGATCAAGAGAACCGTGAGGAGTATGGTATGAGGTGATGTTGTATTGAGTTACATTGTCAGGTGGTCAATTGTCGAGGTGTCAATTGTCGGGGGGTTAATTGTCGGGGGGTCAACTGTCGAGGGGACAATTTTCGCCCACCCAATGGATTATATATGTGATTGAATGCTATTACATGTGATTATATGCTATTATATGCTATTATATGCTATTATATGCTATTATATGCTATTATATGCTTTGAGAAAAGGTCTAAAAAGGTACGTTTTGTGACAACAGAAATCCAAGGTGATGTTTCACAATTACCAAATTGCAGGAAAAATCACCTGATACCCAAACAAGGTCAGTTGCATGCACCAGTAATCGACCGGGATTCCCGGTACCGGGAATCCCGGTACCGGGATTAGCAATTTTGAGCTATCCCAGCCCCGGTCCCAGTCAAATGCTGGTTTCTGTGCAATAAAATCGATAAGAGTATTAGCAGTTATCATTTGAAAGCAGAAATCAATGGTGCGCTGACTACTGGTTATGAATGATAATCCAGAAAGTGATAGATCTCGAAGATGATCTCCGTCTGACTAGTTGACGTAGAATTTACCATGATCTCCTTGTCCTGTCTGGTGTGGTCCTTTAAAGTCCCCACTAGGAAGTATTCCTACATGTTGGGTGCAGTCTTTGGTATACTCAAGAGTTACAGTTCCATCTCCAGGATGATGCTTGGCAATCAGCATGAAAATAAATCTTTGAAAAGATCTTTAATAGGTTGAATGCATACGTTGGATCATATTCACCCTGCTACTATATGCGATTATTTGCAATTATATGCAATTATTTGCGAGTATAAATAATAAAATGTGATTTTAAGAGATAATATACGTGATTATATATGATTAGATGTGATTATATGCTATTATATGCTATTATATGCGATTATATGCGATTATATGCTATTATATGCTATTTTATGCAATTATTTTGCAATTATATGCGATTATTTGCAATTTTATGCTATTATATGCTATTATATGCTATTATATGCGATTATATGCGATTATTTTGCGATTATTTGCGATTTTATGCGATTATTGCTATATAATGGTTGTTGCATAGCATTATAAAACGTTTGTACTGCAGTTATGAATTCTGTAACCTGCTCATTCTGTGACAAGTCTTTTGCCAATAAATATAGTCTGTACTCACACATTAGTAGGTATCATCGAGAGAACCGAGAGTCAGATGAAAGTTCTGCAATTCTACAGCCGCTGTCAAAAGCTAACTCAGATGTGACTGATGTCAAAATGGAGGGTCCTGATTCTGTATGTTCAGATGCTGATACAATAGTTTCTGAAGAATCTCAGCAAGGTGGTTCTAACTCTGATGTACCAGGTAGTGGTGATGATGAATTTAGTGGTGTAACAAGTAGCGATGATGAGTCCAACAAAGAATATAGTGCTAAAGAGTTAGAATCTGATACTGACTGGCAACACGTAGGCAAGCGGAAAGGAGTACCCATCAAACAACCAAACAGTAAAAAGATATCGAGTTTACTTAAATCTCTAGACGTCCTGTTACAAAGTAAATTGTGTAAAGAGCAAAATAAATGTTTTGACATTTTATTCTCATACATGATGAAAACCGAATTGTTTGTTGTCTTGAAGCAGCGTTTAATTGACAGCGGAGAAGACCTAACAGATATTTTAAGTTTGGAAGAACGATCTCTATTGGATGCAGTTATCACCACTACAAGTCTATCTGATGTAAACAAACTGATGAACGAAAACACAACTATTGTCGATAAGATTCTCAAACTTTATCTGAATAAGTAGTTGGTGGAACTAACTACCTGTACTAGAACACCATTAACGTGCAACTGTTATACAATGATTTATGTACCCAATCTTACTCTTGATGATTTCAATTTATGATTATAATGTTGACAACAACAAATTATCAATTAAACGGTAGTTTTATTTGTCTCTCGAAATTTATCAAATTTATAACAAGCAAATTTAATAGTTAATAATAGTGAATGGTATGGAGCCTTAGCTACTCCCTAGACTCGACTTTGAACCCTGAACCTTTTGTGCAGAAGACGGATGTTCTAACCACTAGGCTACCTAACAGTTGTTATATCTTAAAGGGTGAAAATGTGGTTCAGATACTGTAGCTATTGCTTAAATGTCAGAAAATTGATGATAAGACTTGTAATTTCCAGGAGGTCGAGTGATGGTAACCCTACACCACATTTCGTTATGTCACCCTCTGCTTATTTGGAGTGGTGACTGGACCGGGGTAAATCGTAAAGAATCATTTGACCAGTAATCAAGTAACAGGAGCCTGCTTGGCAGCCGTTTAATCAGACTTTAGATCCTTTAGACAGGATTATTGATTTATTCATCATGACGTTCTGACGGGTAATCAAGTGACTCCTGTCACGTGATCTCGAGGTTCAAATAACATTCATGTCACATGATGCTTAAGCTAAACACGTGACCGGTGATCAAGTAACAGGAACCTGCTTGGCAACCGTTTAATCAGACTTTAGATCCTTCAGTCGGGATTATTGATTGATTCGTCATGACGTTCTGGCTCCTCATTGGTCAATCAAATGTCACGTGACCTTGACATTTAATTAACGAGCTTGTCACGTGGTTACATGACATGTGATCTGTCACGTGACGTGCTGTCACGTGACCTGGGGGCGTGCTGTGAGTGGCTGGGGGTCACTTGATGGCTGGCCTTCACACATTCCCTTCTACTAAAAAGTCTAATTTCTAAAATTCCCACAAAACTTCTTTTAAACTATTTCCATGTACACAAGAATCTGCTTGGTGAGTGTTAGAAAACAAGTCCATCACATCTGTTGGGGTTGGCTCGAATGTCGCAAAAGCTTTGCTCACTTTTGCAGCTTTACCTTTCAGAAACTGGCATATTTTATCACAACGAACCGAACTGTAGTCACAAATCGCCAGATCTGAATCACGTGTTGAGTTATTATGCCGCACAATCAATTCCAATGTTTCTATCACATCTTCTTTCCCAAACTCCGGTACATCATCACAAACATTAGTTATCTTGAACAGCCCATCATTTACTTTGTTGATACGAATACCGTTAATAGCCAGTGATTTCTCGTTAACATACGAGTGCTCTCCCATGGGATCTTCTGATGTTGGACAAGACATTAGAAATGAATACAGCTCCAATTTCAAATCACTGGGCCTCAAATCGAGAGAATCATCAGAGGTAGGCAGGCATGGTCCATATTTTAAGGAATGAGATCCCATGAGTTTTCTGTAGAGATTCACTTCCTGCGCCCTAGTTGGATTAAAAGCAAAGATCTTATCCTCCCACAACACTATCCACTCTTTGCCGAGCTTCAATGCTTTAGGGCAAGAAACAACTCCATTACTCTTTTTCTTGAACAGTAAATTTTCTTTAAGGTAGTGCATGTTACAGTTGAACTTACGTTTAGGAGGTTTACCGTTCGGTGAAGGGGTTGACAGTTTTCTTCTTTTGTCAGCCAAGTTTGGAGAAATACTCTTCTCTCTTTTCTTATTGCATGCTACATTCTTAGCTGCCTGTTTCATTATTTGTTCGGGTGAGATGAATTCCATTTTGAATTCGGAGTTGCCTTGACTAAAGGAATATATTGATGACTGTTTTGGGCCCTTATTTTCAGTTTTACTTTTACATCCATCGGAGTTGTGAAGGATATTGTCCAACTTTTTAGGAACCACTTGAGATTTTCTATCCGTGTCTTTAAGTGGTGTAATTTCATTCGTAATAATGCCAGGGCCAGTGATCAAGTTTGGTTTGACCTCCTGATCTTCATCAAGTGAAGTTGGACTAAATAATTCTTGTGAATCAAGTTCTCTCTCTAAATCAGACCAAATAGATAGATTTACTGCTGAAGTGACCTGTTCCTCTTCATCTTCAGAATAGATTGGTGGTTTGTTTGGGACTCTATTGGAATTATCAAGGTCAAGTATAGTTTTATTTTCCGAATAATCAGGAGGACTGGAGAGGTCAGTAATGTTATGTGAGTCTGATATCCCACCAAGAATTTCAGGAGTACTGCAGAATAAATGGCCTTTTTGGTCATTCTTTCTATCTGAAGCTGAAATCTTGTTAATAGTGCTAATTTTCAGTGGAAATGACCCTTGAGCACAGTTATTTGTTGTTTCCATTGTACTTTTATCTGCTAGTTTGGATTCTGGAGATGATGATACCGATACAGTTGACTGAGATGTCAGGTTACGGTCATAAAAATCCTGAGTCTGATTCATCGACTCTTCTTCAAGAGGGACTATCACATTAAGGACTTGCTTTCTGACAATATCTTCAACAATTGAAATCAATTCAGCTTCATTTCTACAAATAACAGCGGATTTATCTACTTCGACATTAACATCGATAAGTGATGATTCAAGGCTGATAATCACAGCTCCATTTGGAAATGAATTATCGTAAAGCTTTTTAAGAGACTTCAATAAAGCTTTAAACTTTACCAATCTTTTGTTAACTATTACAAATGGAGGTTTCCGTGCAGACTTGGCTGTGGCTGACAGCATACCAGTTATTTTCACTCCACTGAAATATAGTGTGTCACCAACCATTTGGACTGATTGTTAAGAAATAAATTTAGATGAGATATAAAGCTTTAACCGATATTCGTGGTAATCACTGAAATCATGTATTATGTAATATTATCTGATTAAAGCTCATATTACATATTATATAGGTTAATATGGACATTGGATAAGTCGAGCCCTCTCTTATATTCAGCTGCTATCAATTTTCAACAATGGATCAAATGCACAAGGTATAACAACAAAAAGAGGGATGTCAACAAACCTTTCACCATCACTACAGTAAGATATACTGGTCATATCACCAATATTTCCATACACACTGGATAAGCTGTCTTTGAGCTGTTTTGAGCTGGCATGCTGCCAGACCAACTGTTTGTTGTGTCGTAGCATGAACCGAACTGAGGGATTTGCAATAGCTATCCCACGGACAAAGTTGTCAATCTCATTCAACTGTTCCTTTCCTTTTTTACCCTATCGGTATGTAAAGTTCAGTTGACAGAATTGCAAAGATAATGGACAAATAAATTAAATGGTACCAACAAAAAATATAATTTTCTTAATGCTTAATACAGTTAAACCCTGATTTACCGCGGAGTTTGGGGAAAGAAAAAATCCGCGGTAAATCAAGGTTCGCGGTAAATCAGGGTTTTGTTTGTTTACATTATACATGTTAAGTTCTTATTTGGAGGAAAGAAAATAGCCCCAGTATATCAGGGTTTGCGGTAAATCGGGGTTTTACTGTAGTAATATTCAGAATTATCAAAACTACAAACCTGATAGAACTTTTTTCTGACAGGTAAATTTTTGAAGAGGTCAGTCACTATGAAAGTTGTGCCAACATTGTTGTGAGAAGTTCCTGTATCGGTCAGAACCCCAACAGAGCTCACAGTGTATGATTTAGCTGTTGGAAATTATGAAAAATAAATAGATTACTAGAAAGCCCGTGGTCACAGAGAAATAGCTAATAGTATTCTGTGATTTTTATTGGGGGTGTCCAACCCCAAAAAAACCTATTCTCAAAATGGAAATTTGAGGTAAAGTTGGGTTTTTTTGGGTTTTTATTACAAAAAAATGTTAGAATTGATATTATTTACACCTATATTCAATCGAGACCAAGTTATATATGTTACCCTCCATCATCCCCACTATCAATTATGATATGTTTCATTTGCTTTATGTATTTTTGTATATTTTGGTTTTTAAATAATTGGATGAAAAGTTACAAAAACGAGGTGAAAAAGCCCAAAAAAACCCATAAAAACTTACCCCAAAACGGGAATTTGAGGTAAAATGGGTATTTTAGGGTTTTTTTGGGGTTGGACACCCCCTTTATTGTATCAAAAAATATCCCACCGAACCAAAGATACATACTTTTGTTTAAAATGTAAATCACACTTATCACAACGATCATAATGCCACACCTATAGTATTTGCCTGTGCACATGTGCATTTCAAGATTAGAAGGCCTGGGCCGTGGCTGCATGGAAGATGGTAATAGTTTTCTTTGCTTTTTGGTATGAAACTTTCACAGATAGTATATTTATGTATACAATACAGCAATACTTGTTTTAAATAAGCAAAATTTTCGCCATGTCATTGTTCAAAATTCAGAAGTCACCATGAAAGCTTGTAACTAACAACAACGATTTATCAGAATCAAGTTTAGAGAAATTGATACAAAGTTGTTCAAATAGTAAATTCTTACAAGAGATTCAAGAAGAAGCTACTAACCAATTTTGTCGGATGACTGTCGAGTTATCATAGCCAATTTTGCAACAGAACAAATGGCTGAAACTGCTTCCCCTCTAAACCCATATGTATTCACACCAGAAATATCAGAGAAAACTTTCAGTTTTGATGTGAAATGAGGAAGTGCTACAGAGGACCGATTTTGTTCTTCAATACCGCAGCCATTGTCTCTTATCTCAATTTTACTCAAACCGTTATCTTCCTGTAATTACAGTCGTTTTTAAAAATAAGCAAAATCATGAAACATTACATTGTGGCCAATTGCTAAATGTCAAACATATCTTTTCCTTAAATTTTGTTTTCCTTATCTAAATTCAGTATTTTACGGAACTTGTAGAAAAAATACAAGCAGCAAAATTTGTATCTTACTAGTCGTATTTCAATAATAGAAGATCCTGCATCAAGAGAGTTTTCAACTAACTCTTTAACTATGGAATAAGGAGATGTTATAACTTGTCCACTACAAACTGATCGAATTGTTTCGCTGCTTAATTTTTCCATACCTGGTAAAATATTGTGATTGTACAAATTATAAATTATTTGAAGATTTATATATAAAATTTTAAGAGTAGAAAAAGATTGAGAGGCAGGTAATGGCCATGTGTTGTTCGACTGACTTGTTCAGACTGTGAACTACACAAAGCAGTGGTGTAACAAAGGGCCCGCCTAAGATGGCGAAGCCCCCCCCCCCCCCCCCCTAAGATGGCACTATTTCAATCATTTAATCTCAATTGGAATGACAATTTTAGAAAGCACAGTTTATGACAGGCCTCATAAACCCTAAAAGGGTTGTTGATATTACGCTGTGTTTAGTTTTAGTACAAGCAACATTTTAATTGGCTGTATCTTCGGTTGTGTAGGATATTTTTTGACGCGATTTAAAGTTACTAACAAAAAATACTATCAATATTAGCTTCCTCCCTGTGACCACGGGTTTTCTAGTCTTACTTATAATTCAAAGAATTATTTATGTATGTACGACCACCCACGTGCAAATAGATAAGAAATAAGAAGTTAGGTAAAAATCAAAAGGTTGCATAGCAATAGTGTTGTAATGCACACGTGCAACAAGAATTGTTGGAACGGCATCTTGATCGGTTTTGTGGTAATTACGTTGTGTTTAAAGTGTTTAACATTCAAATAAAAAAAAGGGAAAATTATTCAAACAATATACCCATAATATAACAATAACCATATATAAAAATTCTATATAAAAATTCTATATAAAAACCCTTTGTTGTAGTAGTAAAAGTAGCCAATTCAATTTGTTGGCTCTAAATTAATATCTCAATCTGATATCTTAACTATACTACCACTTTTTATCCCTCTTTCTCCTCTTAGAGCAATAATTGTCGTTCTTAATAAGTCAAATCTTATTCTTTTCCTGATAAAAGTCATCGCTTCACTGTACCTTTGGCCTGATTTTCTAGACATTCTATCAGCTAACTTTTTGAAGAACGTATTTGCTTCTCTTCCCATTTCAATAGGACTATTGCATTGGTGTAAATGTTCCATGTTCCACCTCGACAATCCTTTTGTTGTACATGTTTTTCTTCTGTCTCTCATGGCTAGTGTACATACTCATTGGAGATCCAAGAGCCTTATTGAGCCAATTGGAATTGGCTGTATTTTTGGCTGGGATGGATATTTTTGGATTCGATTAAAACTTTTTTCAAAGAATACTACTAGCTTCATTTCTGTTACCACGGGCTTTGTATGTTGTAGCATATATATAATATTTAGGTTTATCTTTGTGACAGTATACTCATACCTGATCAACCAATAAAAAATATTTGAAAATTGTCGTTCCAATCATACTTGATATGACTCGGAGCTGTGCCGACCCACAAATTGATTATCAGTCAGTTAAAGTCCATCTAAGTAATTTAAATATTTGCTTGTAAACATGGCACACGAAATATTTTTTCATATGATGATGATGAAAATCTAAATATTATAGGCTACAATGAGCATTTTAGTAACAAATAGTTTTATACATTATGATTACAGAGGATCTGATATTTAGATATATATTGCTGTGCTGTAAAAATTGACTTTATTTATTTATTTATTTATTTATGAAAGATCTGAAATTTAAAAAATAAAAACCCTAAAAATATTTACACCCCAAGTTAAAAATATAAATACTTTATTTGTAAAAACACTATCAAATAAGGTGGTTGATCAGTCACTTGTGTCATTACGACGACGTCGTTATATCAAGTCAAAATATTCCCCAAAATAATTTAAAGACGATTCCCGATCAAAAACGTTTTTGGTAGAAAAAGTTTTTCGAGTTACATAAATATCAATGGAGATGCAATTTTATAGATAAAATCAATAAAGCTTAAAAGTGAAGCCCAAAACAAAGTAACACACCCAACAATGGTTGAGATGTGATACATCCAAGCAGTCTAAGTCAACAATAATATCATGTGAGTTAATATAAAACTAGCTCCAATGTTCATGTAACCAGACAGGTTCTACCAATCCGAAGAGTAAAGTAGGTTTCCATTCAGTCAGTAGTAAACAGTGTCTAGCACTGGTCGTCCTAAGAGGGACTCCCCATTTATTACAGGCCTGGGTAAGGCCGCGTACATACCAATGGATAGAGCATTGGCCGTCTAGTGTAGGGACTTGACTCCCCAGCTAGGCGTGGGTGGGCCCTGTAGAAATACAGATCTTCCTTCTTAGCTTGAGGTCATCATTATTTACACATTCACTGCAGATTTGGATGAACTTTGGATCTCTGGAGCAGTTTAGGATCGCCAAGTGTGGAGTACCCAGATCTTCCAGATTGGAGACCTCGTTACCAATACTGAGAAGATATGAGGCTTGGTCCCTAAGGTCTTCGTCAACATGACCACAACTAGTCAGTATATGAATTGCAGTTTGTTCTTCATGACCACAGGAGCAATAGGGAGATGGCCATTTCAGTCTGTCAAGGACAAAAAGAAATGAGTTTAGAAGATTGTTTTTGTAAAACAAGCTCATGACTAGAACCTCAGTTTCTCTGCTAGTATGATAAGGGAACTTCAGGGGGTGGTAGACACCACGGGAATTTGAGACCAGCCCTCCATTTGTAACTGGTTCTTAATAGATTCCTGCCATACGAATTCAGTGAATTGTTTGATAGAGACCTTGGTGTAATGGCAGGCTTTCCTAGAGAGCTCGAACAATTTCGAGGCATCATTCAGTCCAATTATTATTGCATCACCTGGCAGAACAGAGTCAGCATGTACTTCAACCTTCCACTTTAGAAATTTCAACACATCCCGCATCTGGCCCAGAATTTTTGTGTTTCCGGATTCTATCTCTCTGCATATGAAGTCATGGTGTACATCGATATGTATACTACTGAATACCTTCAGGTAGTGCTTTACCGATATTATTCTGTTTGTAACCCGGAGTGGGGGTATTCCCAAGATGACCTCTAGTATGGCATTTTGAACATTGAAGACTGCTCCCACAGCAGATTTTGCAACCTTGTGCCAAAGTTTGTTCAGTTCCAGCATGTTGGCATTAGTTTGCCAGATAAACGAGCCATAGAAGAGGGAGGAAAACATCACAGTTTTGGCCAACCTCACTAGGACCTTTTGGTTCATCCCCCAATTACGGTTTGTATACCTGCTCAGACAAACCCAGCGGTAGATTAGCTTGTTGTATACATCCTGGCTGTGCTGCTTGAAGTTCAACTTACTGTCAAGTGTTATACCAAGTACTTTGCTGCTGTCTGTGAGATAGATGGTGTTTCCACATAGATCAAAGGATTTGGGAACAGCTGAAGCATCTTGGCATTGGAAACATATAACTTCTGTTTTATTCACATTACAGTTTATGACCATCCTCCATTGAGAAGTCCATTCCCCTATGAATCCCATCGCCAGCTCTAGGTAAAAGAGACATTCTTCAAGATCTTTTCCAGTCACTTTGATGGTTCCATCATCTGCAAATTTGAAGGCCTGAATCTGCTCATACAGTTGACACAGGGTCTCCATGTCGAACACATAAAATTTGAAGAGGATTGGTGACAGAACAGAGCCGTGTGGCAGCCCATAATCGAGGCACATCCTAACAGGACCAATGAAACCATTTAGGAGGAGGCTTACCGTCCTCCCAAAGAGGAAACTATCAATTGTTCTTAGGTAGCATCCATGCACACCAACCTTCCATAGTTTCACTAGCAGGCCTTGTTTCCACACCGAGTCAAATGCTTTTTCGAAGTCAATGAATAGGCAGAGAACGGTCAGTTTTTTCATCATGTCTCCTTTAATTCCAGCTGTTAGCCTGTGCAGATACCTTATAGTGTTTCTACCTTTTGAGAAGCCTTCTTGGTTGCTATCAATGAGTCCGATAGTGAAAAGATATGTTTCCAGCCGGCATGCAAGAATCCGTTCAAAGAGTTTGCCTAAATATGAAGAGATTGAGATTGGTCTGTAAGAACCAGGCTTTGCATAACTGCTCTTTCCTTCTTTTTTCAGAAATATTATGTTAGATGCATTCCAAACCCATTTTCCATTTCTCAGGCAGAGGCTAAAAAGTATACTCAGGGCATGCAATGCGTTTGGACCAAGGTGTTTGAGCATAGATGGATGAACTTGGCAGTTGTCGAAACTTCCTGCTGTGGATTTATTTCCCTTAATTATACCAAGGATTTCCCCGTGTGTTACTGGGCAGTAAAGCTTTGAGCTGTGTTGAGAGTTATCCATGGAATCAGCAAATGGCTGAAATCCATCCTCTTTGATTTCTGAGTATAGTTTGTTGGTTTCATTATAGAAGTTCTGATCAAATGTATCTATGTTTTCTACAATGTGCTTACCCATGAAGAATGTCTCAAACAACTCTTTTTCTATTTCTTTATTCTTTGTCATGACTGTCCCATCCTCATTAACCAGAGCTTCCACTTGTTGGTCAGTTGGAGGCTTAAAAAGTCTGTTGAAGTCTTTCCAGAATTTGTTTGCTTGAGCTACATTTAGATTTTGGGTCTTGTTCACTATAAACTGCTGACATGCTTGTTTCCTTGTTTCCTCAAAGATTTCTTTTGCTGCTTGAAACCTCTCAAAGGCTACATCTGTGTTTCTGGTCAGGTAGGTTCCAAGCGCATCCTTTAGTTCTTTTGATTTAGATGACAGCTCATCCTCAAACTCAAAGGTTATAGAACCAGATGCTGTTAGGCGACAGTGTTTAATGACTAAGCCTTTGTGGTGTTTGTTGAACTCTTTCCTGATATCACGACTGGTGCGGATGTTAGTGTCACCTGGTCTGACTGCCACTCTTATCCGTTTAAGCTTATCTGCATTCTGGCTATCCCTAGTAGATTTAGTCATTGTGTGGAGACTCTCAACCAAGTTTGTAGGAAGCAAAGCACTTCGATGGTGATTCGCATTACTTGCTCTACTGGTCACTCCACTATAGGATGGTTTACTGGCAATACTAACAAGGTCCTCTACCTGATCTGACATGAGATTAATTGTATTTGCCGTCTTGGTAACCTTCTTTTCTATTCGCCTTAGCTTGAGGGCAGCACTGCCATATACTCTATTGCAGGGTGGACATAGAACCTTGACATAGCCAGGGGACTTTGTAATAAAATCAAATTCTGGTTTAGTAAGGGGTCTGCTAGAGCATTGGTTGTGAAAATACATGTTACAACCATCACATTCAATTCCCGATCCACTGGAATCACTTTTGTCTGTGACTTCCCCAGCACATACTTGGCATGGATATAACACTTTGCCAGACTTGTTTTTTGGAAACAGCCCTTCAAAACTGTCATCTTTTGTTTTAAAATCCACAAAATCACCATTTTTGAATATCACCTGTATGTCAGATTCATTGTATTCACTTAGCCCGTTGTTGTAAATTACGCTGGACTTCAATAGTTCGATCCTGCCGTCCAAGTCGTAGTCCTGTGGGGCAATCAGCTGAAGTTTACGGTGTATCTTGTCAATCTGGGGGGTTGAGACATTAGTCAAGGAAATAATAGTTTCGCCTGGCATAGTACCAAAGAGGATGAAGATACCAAAACCAAATCCACGCTAATTAGATAGTAGTAAGGAGGTTGGGCCAAAGACTGGATCAAAATCGAAAAAGTTTGAACCAACCGGAGAGGTTCCGACTTATGGGTCGGACTCCCTTTGTATATTTGGGAAGACGAGAAGAAGGAGATCTTCAGTTTCAGGTATTGAGGCGTTATCTGGTCTGAGTTTTCGTATTGTCTTATCTACGGTCCCACTACTTGTTTGCGTACATGTCACATACCTCAAATTATTTGTTATATAGTAGTGTTGAAAGTATGAATTTTTTCATAAACTGTATGTTTTTTTTTTTTTTAATCTAGACACTTATTTTACTTCGGAGTATTCCAACAGCCATATTGCAATTGTTACACAAGTGCAACCAGCCAATTACAGGAAGCCGAAGGATTTGTTTTTAGCCAGTGACGGTTAAGGTAGTGTGTACCATACTTTCTTCGCCCGAGACTTTGCTGCAATGTGCAGCTCCTCATTTAACACTCACACCCGATTTCTCGAGTATTCGACTGAGTAGACCGGGGGGCTGCATAGACCACTCACGATCCTTAGCTGAATGTCAACGACACTCACCCCACGACCAGGCAGGCAGTGGGATTTGAACCCGCAACCTCACGATTGCAAAGCTGGCTAACCAACTGCGCTACATTAAAAATGTAATATTAAGGCCGGGATCATTCCCTGAAAATGTAGCATTCTTTGAATATTTGAAAATAACGTAAAAAATGCAATGTTTAATTTTAGTAAAATGGGAAACAAAAAAATAAATTTGTATTTCAACATTAAAAAGCAAAAAGCCTTACAAACAAAAAATCGTGCTTGGTTATTAATCATACAAATTTATAAATTAATTGATGATTCCAACTTTTTCTATTTCGTAGCTCCATGCTTTTACTGACGATGTTAATGGGTGGCACTTTGTCATGCGTTGTATGCGCGGCCCAGCCCCCTGTATCGCAGAAACGGTACACTTGGTGAAACGACAATGGGGGTTACGACGTGATACAAGGACGTCCGCCAAAATCGCAAATTTTCAGACCACCCCTTGATCCCCCTGTCTGAGTGTGTTCAAATTTTCAAAACCACCCCTCTCCGGACGTCGGGATTTATAGCTACTTTTAAGATTACAAATAAAACCAACTCATTGTTTAAATAAAATTCAAAAGGTGAAATAAATGGGAATTTTTCGTTTATTCTGCCAAAATTTCCGGACGTTCGGATTTTCAGGAACCGCCCCCTCCCCATGTCCGAAATTCAAAAACCGCCCGACTTCCTATTTGCAGGACGTCCTAAGTAGATGGCCCCTATATACAGTTACAAATTATCTATGCCAAATTTGTCATACGTTGTATGACCCGCCGCGCACGAGTGCGCAGATCCCCTGTATCGTAGTTAACGGGTGATACTCGTAAAATATCTGTTCCATATATTCGCCGAGTCCAACTCGGCGCGCGTCCTGGTAGGTTTGAGGTTGTAAACCTACAATATCGTAGAAACTCTACATTTAGTGAAACGACGTGATTCGATACGTTGCGATGCCAAATGCGCGCGCGTATCATGAATTCAATGTAATACATAAGTAAGTACATACGTACGTATATACGTGCGTGGCAGCGCAGCGCGAACAACACCACAAAAAAGTACTTGGCGCCTTCCGTTCAAGACGTTTTGGGTGTAACTTTGTATCTACATTAGCGAGACCATAACGGTGAACTATTATAGACACGGTTACGTGGGAGTTTCTTCTTAAATTACCAGAAACTAACTGTAGAACCTTAGATATTGATAATTGCGTCACTATAATAATTCATGTGTTTCATTACAGAGAATGACCTCATCTTAAGAAAATAAGATGTTTCGCTTTCCAGCGAAAATGAATTAGTGACGTATTCTACATTCTAACGAATGAGATCACCAGAAATGTCCAGGCCAACACGAACTTAATTTTACAAGGACGATTTCAGTCTTGATCGGACCGATCGGTGTGCTTTTACGGCTAAAAACACTTAAATCCGTTTGTTTTAATTTAATTATTGTACGAGCTTCTACTGAGTGAACAATCAACCCAACATGTTTTCAACTCCTAGACAAAAGAAGAACAGTATTTCAGTATAGATCAACCTGTAATTGAAAAATAATCATGTGTCTACGATGCAATTCTAAACATTACAAAAATAAGAACGATAAGAAGGTAGAGAAAAATATGGACCTTGATACATGTACTAGGACGACTGTTAGCTATTACCAGAGGTGCCCTTTGATTAAAAAACAGCCCATCCTTTGTTTTACCTCTTCAGAAATAGAAAACTATAGGTATTAACCAGTTAAAGCCATTCAATTGTTCTGCAGAAATCTTATTCCTCAGTCATTTCACATTTGTGATCTCGCAGTTCATTGAAATTAGTTCAAGTCATATGATCAAACGTAATAATGTAAACAACAAACTTTAACTTCTTCTGAATGGAAGAGCAAAAATTATGAGCTTAGAAAGTTAACCCGATTTATGTATCATTAAGTTATAAGCGTTAGGTAGTAGGTCAAAACTCAGTTATATGCGATCCATTGGCATGAAGTGGAACGGTATTTTATCCAAAATATCGTTCGCCACAATATGGGGTCTGGCATAAAAGAGGTCTGAGCGTAGCGTGGTTTTGGGATTGACTTCCCATATTTTACATCTAAAATCGAATGTTTAAAATGTCTAGTTTAACTATCATTTCAGGACGATCCAAATATCTTAATACCTCGGGTATTCTTAATTAAAATTTAGCGTGGATTTTCGGTGCACATTTTGTAAACATTTTCAAAATTGTATAGAAAATTCATAACATGATGAATTTAAATTTAGTTCCACCTTTAGAATTTGTCGGGTACTACCAAAAGCGTAATCACACAGCAGGCCATGTCCGAAAATATGTTTGACACCAGATTCTTGTAACTTTGTAAGTTATAGTATAATTCAATCTCTATTATAGTTGGATTAATTAGGTTAGTACTCTGCACAAAGTGGAAAATTATGTTATTTTATGACTCAAAATTCTGTGTTTATTGATTAGGTAAATTATAAATACTTTTGGATCATCCTAAACAACTTTAAAATCTAAGATCACATAATAAAATTAACACATGATAATAATAATAATCGAATGAACTTGACAAATTAGTCTGAAAATTTTATGAACTTTAATGAAAAGGACGATTTTCGAATAAAGGGTAAATATTTTTACTCATTTTTACATTATGAATATCAAATTCAATTGGAACGAACAAGCCTTATATTCTTATATATGTGGACTGCCAGATGCCAAACATTCCAGAGGGACCTTTTGTAAGCTAATTTTGCAATTAGAATGTGACTTCATTTAAGTAGGGGTCGTTCACATATTACGTAATCAACTGAGGACAGGGGGAGGGGGTTTCCATATGATTACGCTAGTGTAATTTTGAGACAATAGTTGTGTGTGAAACTGATTACGGAGGGGGGAGGGGGTTAAAAATTGTCCAAAAAGTGATGACGTAATATGTGAACGACCCCTAACAGCAAACATACAAATATTGTACAAGTATCAAAGTACAATTAATATGAAAGTAAATAAACACATCTCAAAAACAGATTAAAGGCAAAAAAGTATTGGAAAACTGACGTCACATAAATAAAGAGTAGACAAATTGATTAAACAGAACATACACATTGAACAAACTGGTCTACACTACTTAAAGACGGAATTTTTTGTCGCAGAAGGGGACTACCGTGATCAGAAATTCTATCAACTACTGATTAGATAAGGCAATTAGAGTAGAACCTCTGAAATCTAGTTGACATCTGGCTTTATATGATTATTATAACGTGCAACATATTAGACCAAACAAAACCAACACACAGTGTCCTATAAATAAACAACATAACCATATTACCGTAACAAATACCTTTAAGTCATATATATATACGTAACAATAACACCACAACATGTTCAACAATCTGTATAACAATTCTTTAATAATGTGAAGAGAGATTCAGTTCATGATACTCATATTATATAATTCCTCGATCTCGAAGATTTAAAAATTGGCAACAACTTAACACATTCATTTATAACAACTAGCTAACCTAGAGAAACTTATAATTTACATTACATTTATAGCAAGTCTAGAAAACAGCTGAGCCGACCTAGTCCTTTATTGGGCATTATTTTCGGCAGTCATAATATTGTGGGGTTATTACTTATTATGTTCGAGAATTTTGTTATGTGGGGTTTTTAATTTTTTGAGTGTGCATTTTTATTCAAGTGAGTCCAACGTTTTTCCACAATGTTTCGTTATTATTATCCCTATAAACTGCACTATAAACTACACTATAAACTAAACTATAAACTACACTATAAACTAAACTACACTATAAACTGCACTATAAACTGCACTATTTATCAGCACTATCTGCACTATTTATCAAACACGATCAAAACATGTTTGGTCGTCAGAACGTTTCTAGCGTATAAATTTTGCTGCGACTTTGAAAATGACACAAAACTTTCATCATTATAACCGAAGAAAATAATACCCAATGAAGTATACTGAATTCATTACACCAACATATCTTGATTAATAGTCAAAAATTGGTCTTAAATAAAAGCTAATATCAAAACCTCCGCGATAAACAGTTGTATAATGCGGCATATCTTGGCATTTACTTCGAGCACAAAGGATGGAAACATTAATTGCATGATCATAAAAACAGCAGTGTCTAAAAGCTTGTTTTATTTCTCACCTTGAAAGACTGAAAGTGAAAGCAGGACAATCTTCCGATAACAAACTCCGGTTTAGATATTGTATATTACAGGTTGGGCCAGAATTAACATCATTGGTTTAGTTGATCATATTCAGAGACACATCAATAAACAGAGGGTCCTGATACTTCCAATTCAACGTAAGTAAAGTTAATTCTGGTCCGCCCCTTACTTCTAAAAGCTACCATTAAAAACACTGTAGTCTTTTTATACCTTATCACTGGAACTAATAATCCTTGGCCTATTATTATTAATATTTTCTTTACTTAATTCTCTACTGTCCGCAGCACTGTTATTTACAGGGTTAGCTGAGTAAAGATACGTCGCTACGAATATTAATAATATACTGATAATCGTGTTAAACCCTATCGGAACACCGAAGAAAACCATGGCAAGCACAGCGGTGAACACGATTTCCAGCGCGCTGGCGAAACTTTTTAAGATTGAGTTCAAGTATCGGAGGAACAAACTGACTACTATCCCAATACAGGTCTGGTTAATAATTATGTAGATAACTTTGAAGGAGAGGACAGGTTGGAGGTTCTGATAGCTGAGGAAGGTGAAAACCTGACCGTTGTAAGTAAGAAGGACGAGGTTGCAGAAGATGCTGTCCAGGTATAGGAACACGTTCTGTACCATCACAGGGGTGTCCCGACCAAGGGTTTTAAGGATGAACTCCGTGTAGACTCCCGCAAAACAGGATGATAGAACTTGAAGTAGGATTAGCACGCAGTATATGTTCACGTCCAGTGATACTTTTCCGATATCGTTTTCTTGTAGCCTTTGAACAGTACAGCCAATAGTCAGTAATATTAGAGACAACCACTGCATCCGTGTTAACTGTTTCTTGAATATAAACTGGAATAAAACCCCAGTGACCACTACCCGGAACTGCATGAGAACGAAATAGGAAGTAGGATCGAACCAAGACAGGCTAGTAAACTGGAGGTTGTTGTAAAGGCAATACAACACCGCCGGTATAAAATAATAGCCAATAAGGGCTGTTCGCTTTCTTATCTCGATCTTAAATTCCTCCCATGAATTCTGACACACGAATATGACGACCGAAGTGACAAGCTTGGCTGCTTCAGCCAATAACACCACAGTGGCCGTGTTGTATTCGTATTTATGATCTGGTTTTTGGGTAGCGGTCACTGTTAGTCCTTGGGTTATGAAGAGAGCCATGTAAACGACGAATATGACGGCACATCGTTTCTTTGGGAAGAGTTTGTGATAACGCTCCCATAATGTGTTCATCCTCCTATAAAGGTATGTTTGTTAGTGAAAGGTATGTTTGTTAGTTAATATTAAGGTATGTTTGTTAGTGAAAGGTATGTTTGTTAGTATATATTAAGGTATGTTTGTTAGTGAAAGGTTGAATCTGATGAGCGGGGGATGTGGTGCAACTTTGTTTTGACACGTGATATCAATTAACCAATTAAAGAATTCCACATTCAACAATCAAATTCACTGTTTACTGTCCGTGTCAAAACAATTGTGTCTCACTTCCCCAACACTATCAGCTCCTTGAATAAAAATTCAATACAGTATAACAGTACTATCATTATTCGCAAATTTTGAAAGTATGAAAACAATTGTACATTAAAAGTCTGCAATAATAATAATAGCATTTCCACTCAACAGTATTACTACAAACAACTAACGTCGCAAAAGTCAAAATATGTTTATTTTGGAAGTTACATTGAACAATAAAATATTATATAAAAACGGAAATGTGTATTAAAAACAACTAGGGAAACACTTAGCAACTAGCAAACAACAACCATACAAGCAGTGCCAGATCGTATTAAAAGTGATCCTTTACAAACAAATTTCTATTACAAATACATGTTTTGAGGATTAAAAGGACTCTTTTAAAATTAAGCTATGCATAACTTCTGTAATCTACATCACGCAGCAAATATTGCGTTGAGTAGAATAGAAGTAACGCCCCAGCCCTGTGAACTATGCTAAATATGCAATATATTTGTCTTCCAAGCCCTAACTAAGGGGCCGTTCACATATTACGTAATCAGCCGAGGGGGGAGGGCCAGGGGGGGGGGTTTCCAAATCATTACGTTAGTGTAATTACGGAGGCCGAGGGGTGTTACAAATTGTCCAAAAAGTGATTACGTAATATGTGAACGGCCCCTAAGGTAAAAAAGGTTCTCAACACTTACATGGTCGAAAAATTTCGAATCCAAATTCGAAATAATGATATTCCAACGAATTTAACAAGTTCAAGGATGAAGTCATCCCAATGATATTATGATTATAATTGATCAAATTAATTTCCACGGCAACAAAGTAAACTGGTAAACAGGAGCTTGAGCTAAACTTAATATGTAAAATCCGGATTGGAATATTGTTAATGAGTCGCATGGTTGCAATGTATTCTTGTGTAAATTTGTATTGATCCCGTTTGATGCGACAAGGAAAAATGCTCTTATCAGGAAAGGAATTACTCAACGTTTAAATGTTACAACATTGTTGTCGCATCAAACGGGATCAACACAAATTTACACAAGAATACACTTTAAACTTAATAGATCAAGGTCTGGCTTTATTGAAAACGACCGAGATCAGATTCATAAAGCGGTATCTTAAAATACGATAAAAACAGTTGTGTAATTAATCCGGGAGATCAGAATATGTATTGTAACGGTGTTTAAACAGGCAATGAGGAACCAATAATTTTCAACATGCTATTTGGCAGGCTCACAGGATTTCAACAAACTATCCACGGAATTTTGAGTGTAATCCTTGTTATGGCTGAACCGTTCACACTGATGTGAGCTGAGAGATCACGTGACACTCTAAAATACAGATTACAGAAGCAATTAATTCTTAGTGTCTATCTAGGTGTAAACCCTTCAATTGTGTTTCGGGTTTACAGTGAGACAGACACATCGTGCAACAGAGGCAACATAAGATATGTGCGGTGGGTGCGGAATCGCACTATCGACCTAATACCGCACTTTTCTGCACCATCGAATGATATTCGTTCTATTAGATTTGTGCACTTGGTACTGCTGTGTGTAACAATATCAGATGGTAAGTGATATTATCAATGAAATGAAATAAAGTATTTTTATCCCGCTTATATCAACAATCAAAATTAAACTAAGGATTGCCGATGTCAAAGCGGCTGACCTTGCGATATAATCCAAAAACTAGATACTCAATTATATATGAATATTCAATATACTATTACTAGTAAAAATTAATTGACAAAACACAAAAAGGATGAATATTAGAATATTGGCAAATGAATAACTTCTCAAGCTGGATCGCAATTATTCATCAGAAAGTTAGTGATCTAAGCTAGGTTTAGATAATAATTGTAGATAATATAATTCGCAGACACTTTAGCTTTAGTACCCACAGAGACACGTAGTCGGTAGTTCCAGAATCTAATTTTCAATTAGCCACAGTTATCCTGAGAAGATAATTGTAAAAGCTTCTATGAGGGTAATTCTAAAACTTTACATCTTGAATTTTCAAGAAACTCGGTGTAATACATTAACCTTGTAAGTTATTTAATGTATTAAACTAAATTTGACCGCACCTTTATGTTGCCTCTTTCGTGCGATGAGTACACTTGGGTTTGTCCCTTTTGTTGTAGGCACGTTATTGTAATTTGAATTTTTGGACTGATGCACTTCAAACTCATTTCTCACTTTCTCAACGCAAATGGTTTCAAAATATAATGATCTTAAAGCATCTACAGATTATTTAAGCCTTTTAGAGCTGACCAATAGCTCAATAGATATTAAATAGTTCGAGGTGCATATATTAAAGTAAATGGACACAAAAAAGCAACAATTAAAATAAAATGAAACCAAGGGGACACACAATAAAGTCTGAGAGTGGCAAAGTAGCTGCATCATTTGCTGCTGTTTTCGTCTCTATTGTGACCGGCACCTCTAACGATATTGCCGGAAATATTTGTCATAATTAGAATAATCTGGTAGGAGGATTTCCCTTTTAAAAAGGCTCCGGAGTTGTTACAAAGTGAAACTGCGAACTACAAAATGAGAAATAAAAGTTTCTTGTTCAACATTTGCCAGGGACAATGGACATGAAGGACCTGGCTGGTGCGTGGTCCTTCAAGTTAATAATTATTTCATTGTAAAACTTGATGAGGTCTGTGTATTTGGGCGTCGAATCTATTAAATTTCATTCTTAACCTTTATTACATTAATAATGAGTTGCGTTTCTCTTGTCTTTAATATAGGATAAATGCGAACACAACTGAGATTATTAAAAGCCACTGCTTGAGAGTTTGGACTAAACACATTAATTATAAAGCACTGAACTGGCAAAACAAAGTAAGAAAGTGTCCAAGCAATTATGACGTCTCATCCAAAAGCTTGCTTATAATGGTTATTCAATGATTAATCCATTGGCTTGCATATTTTGAAAATACCAGCTAACACCGCCAAGAATTAACCACTTTCACTATTCTGCCCAGTATGTTCAATGGATCTGGCAAAACGCCCACAAATATGTCACTGCTTTATATATAAAAAAGAGTTGATAGAACTTGGGCAATTTACCAGAGTCGTTGAATCGTAACGCTGTGCCAACTATGCTGTTGATTTTTATAACTTGCTTGGCTGAGATTTTATGCATATTTTTAGTTTGTAGCCACAGTAAACACAGGGCCTAGCATATATTATCATGAGCAAGAATGGGGGCAAGAATTTATCTTAATAAATTCAGTCGTAGTACCAATATTTATTTATGGACACTTCGAGTTCAATAAATTTGTTCACAAAAAAGTTTTCATGAATAAAATCTAGCAATAAAGAATGGTAATTACCAAAGCTGTGTATGAATCGCCTCTCCAAACAAATCTAAAATTATTAAAGCTGTGATACTAATCTTAGTACACGTGCGGGCAAAGCCCTCTCAAGACTAAAACGAGCAATGAGTAAAAATGTTTGCAGCGTGTTGTCATGTAATTGCCAAAGTTTCTGAATTCTTCTCGGGAATGAAATCGTATTTAGCAATGACAAATTTGATACTGTATCTTTATATTGGCGTTCAAATTTCAATGCGCTCTTATTATCATTTCAATTAATCGTGATTAATACGAAAACCTTTTATATTATCGAAGTGGTCTGAATCATTATTTTCTATTGTTTGATACCAAAATGGCGGCTGGACGACACTGAATTATTCCACCCTGTAGTGTGCCGTTTGTCTATGTTGAGAGGCAGAAAACTAGCGGCCTGCAATGAATGGCAACATTTAATACATTCGCTCTGTTACATCGCTTCCTAAAATTATTTGATATATAATAGTAGTATTGAAAGTATTAAAACTGTTATGTATGAGATTTCATGTTTCACTGGATGAAAGGATAATATGTTGATCGACATTTGTGGTAAACCTCAATTTGTTTTTTTAAATGCAGCAGCAATTTACTTAGGAGGCTATGATTTTAATCGCCTAGAGATATAATACCAGAATGAAAGACAAATCCAAAGAAAGGGGATTGCAAAGAGTATCTAAAGAAAGCTAGGCTGCCCTAACTAGGCTATCATAGTAAGAGCACTGGATCGATTTAAAACACGAAGTACGGGAAAACCAGGTAAGAAACTATCATGCAGTGTCAACTAACAAACTGAAATTAAGTAACAATAAAACCAATCACAACATGAATTTATTGCATGGGAGATTAAATTTTAATGAAATCACATCAAAAGGGAAGATATAGTACGAAATGAATTAAAGACCATAATACTTTCTAGTTTAAGCACTATTATGCAACAAATAATTTGAGTTTTATAAATCCATCAATCTGTACTATTAGTATTCCCTCTAATGTTTGGATTGATGGTAATCATGAAGACATGAAAACAATGTATCTCGAGACGACCCAGTTGTGACTCGACTAGTTTAAACTAATTACAACACTACAAATATATTACATTTATTAAGGTGACTAGTGTAACCAGGTTTACGGCCGGGATTTCAGTGCAAAAGTGTAAACCCGATCAGTTGAAAACTTGCATCAAGCAATCAGGACACGTTCGTACAATTATATTTGAGAGAAACACATACCTAAAACTAAATTACCGGTGAGGAATGAGGATGTAGACAACACACTCAAACTTAATAAACGTATCTAAACGGAATGTTGTGCTCCAATTAAACTTCCTATAAAGCACTGTTCAACTGACAGTTACTTACTAGTTAGTAACAAGCATTAAGCATGATGTCAGTGCGGCCGGTAAGTGGTTTGAAGGTGAATCCGCTCCCTCACTTAGGCCGAGGAGCAAAGTGTTGTGACCGTAAGCCTCTATAGTCTATACTCAAATTTGAGATCAAACTGCCGCTATAATAAAGAGCAGC